GCCTAGTTTACTCACCATGGACAGAGTCAGACGTTAAGTTGAGTCAAATGCTTCTTGTTTATGGTTCTTCAGAGCAAAGCTGGGAGGTTGTCAGAAGTTTGCTGTGTACACAGTCTTCGTGTTTGTTCTGTCAACGTTCATTAGCGCTGATTGAAGTCACGCTGTTATTCACAAGCGAGGGTTGCTTCATGGCTAGTCCGCCGCCTGTAGCTACTGTGCGTGGTGCAGAGTTTAAAGTTTGGTCGCATGTAGGCCAGTTGCTTCTGCCTGAATCAAATCTTGTGGATTCTCGTTGTTGGGGGGTTGTAACCGATATTCCCTCTAATTTTTCCATCTGTGTGCAGATTTTCTTTTCTATCTGTGTGGAATAAATTTTGTGTGTGCAAAGGCTTGTGTGAATGTGCACCATCAATATAAACAAACAACCTCGCTGTGCGCACTCTGCTAATCAGTTGGGTGGCATTGGAATCTCTCCAGCTTCCAGGGAGCAGTGGTTGTCACCCCTCCGCAGGTGTAGGCCTCATTAGCTCTGTGCCTGGGTGTCTCATTCCTTGCTGGGATGCTACTAGTTGTGTTGGCCTCCTTGTCAAGCAACACCGCTGTGGTTCCACCGTGCTGCACCAGTGGGCCCTTTGTCATTGTTCACATGTCATCTTAAGCTGATGCTGACAGTGTCTGACCTCGGCCATTGGACCGTGTCCCAGAATGCTGCTCCCTTTCTAGAACGTGCAGTTGGACGAACTGGCCACGGTGCTAGAACCCGGCAGCACCTTCGTTTGCAACGTCGACTGGCGCCCGAAGTCTGTAGTGAGCGTCCGTCGCAAGGAGCTGGGGCAGGAACTTGCTCCGTTCTTCAGAGATGGTCACCAGCTGCAGTCGGAGAGCACCACGCAACACTTGCTATGCGAGCACAACAGAGACCATCACACACAGTAACAAACCTATGTCACCTTCACAAGGATCTCCCCTCCCTCCCCCACACACACAAACCCTGACACGGGCCCTGGCAGGAGCCATCCTTCAGACACCCACTTCAAGGAAGTTCCTTGTTGGTCCTTGGGGGTCTCTGTGGGCCCGATCCAATCCTTCCTGAAGGACTGTCCCTCGGCGGGGTCGGGAGGAAGGCCCTGAGCCACTTTAACTCCGGGCTGTTTGTCCAAGAGTCCTTTCTTCATTGGCCTGTGGAGAATCTGGCATGAATCGGCACGTGCGGCTCTCCTAGGGGTGGCTGCAGAGGACTGGTGAGCGGGGAGATGCCATTAGCGTCCCCGTCCCTAAGAGACGAGGTACCACCAGTGCCATAGAGTGTTTCCCAAAGGTAGTAACCTCTTACTGCATTTGGATTGACTGAATTCCATACAGTTTGCCCAGAACATTGTCTGTCTGTAGCAGTGACAACTGGTGGTAACATCAGACCAGCCACGTCAGTCGTATTTGCTCTCCCCCACCTCTCTTGCAAACATCTGCTGCTATCCGTGTGAATCAAAAAAGTCCCATCTGGGCTTAGCACCCCTCTAAGCAGGAGCCTGTTCCTCGGAGAGCCTGGAGGGCAGTTGCTTTTCAGAGGGTTTGGGTGGTTTCAGGGTTGGAGCTCTAAATGCTGAAGAATCTGCTTTGCGTCTTAGTCTGATGTGCCAGTTTCATACGGTCCTGGTCCCTCTGCTCAACAGTACGGGAGTTTGTACACCAGCTAATACACGGGGTCTCCGCTTGTGAGTTTCCTCGTGTGTTTTCTCCCCATGAGGTTCGGCGGTGGAAGCCCGGCTCAGCCTTTCCCTGCCAGAGGCCCCCGTAGAAGATGCGAGGTCCACGTCTTGGTGCTCCCGGTCAGACCAAGAGCACTTGAGTGTCTAGTTTTTCTACCCCACCCGACTGCGCCCGTCCCTTCACGCGGTAGACGCATTGCAGGGGACGCTGCCCTCCGTACAAAGGACTGTTTGTCGCAAAGTCAATGCGGTTTCCGGCTCAGCCTTTCCCTGCCAGAGGCCCCCGTAGAAGATGCGAGGTCCACGTCTTGGTGCTCCCGGTCAGACCAAGAGCACTTGAGTGTCTAGTTTTTCTACCCCACCCGACTGCGCCCGTCCCTTCACGCGGTAGACGCATTGCAGGGGACGCTGCCCTCCGTACAAAGGACTGTTTGTCGCAAAGTCAATGCGGTTTGTATGGC